TTAGCATGAATATAAATGAACTCTGTTGCTGTTTATTCATCTCAGGAACTATAGTTTCCAAAGAGGAGTGATTCATAGTTAAATGCATGATGTACATAAGCTCTTCAGACGTAGACCTGCTAAAAGGATCCATCATGATGCCAACCTAATAACCTTTTGTTGAGAAAGTTTTGAAATGAAGTAGAATAATGGTTAAGCGAGAGTGATGAGGTTAAAGAGGAGTTGATTTGACGGGAGAGAAAAGAGAGACAGTTGAGGGATGTGTGGGAGTAGCAGCAGCTCCCCCGCACAGGAGGAAGAGTCACGATCCACAACTGAACGGCTCAAAGTGACACGCCATTAACACGTCAACAACAACTCCCGTGCAATCACACGTTAACCGCACATGTTCCTAACTGAGATATTAAGCAAAAGCAATGCCCAACATGGCACTTTAATACAAATCATCCACTTAAAGTCCCCTTAAGCCATGCACTGAATGAGTCCTGATGCCACTAAGCTTCAGGTTTGTCATTTGAAACTCAATCATTCATGTTCGGTCACCAAACATTAAGCAGCATCACCGGGAATTCAATACATCTATAAGCTGCGAGGGGAGATAAGGTCCAAAACCCACCTGCATGCTGCACAAGCATCCATGCAAACACAAATGCACACTGACATTTGAATCTGAACTCCTACACACGTCAGTACCTAAGGTAGACACGCTGCATCAAGCCCTAGCAGACCTATATATTCTGGACCAGGGGTGGTAGCTCATCTGATGTGCATTACAATCATTGTATTAATTGGAAGCCATAAGGGAAATAGTTTGTTCTGTTTTTTTGAGTCATATCATTTTGTTCCAGTGCTGTGATGACGATGACTCTTCCTGAATCTAAACATCCACAGTTGTACCAGGAAGCTCTGATCCAACTCCAAGGCCGAGTGAAAGCAACAGATTGAATTAAATCCTTTTAAAAGCATAAACTCTCGGCTGCTTCTTCTCGTGACATTTCTATCTAATAAGTAAAAAAACATTTTCCTTAAAATAAGCTTTCACAAGATCTCAGTGTGGCTTCTAGATTTTGTTTCCTGCCAGTTTAGCTTGTTAAAAATGTCCCTTTTATCGATACTAAACCCAATTAAGAAGTCAGATTTTCTAGATTACTAACCAAACAAACAACAGATGAAAGTCCATAGTCTTCAAAATGATAAAAACTCATCACTAGGGATGAACAGATCGGGAAAAACCAGGGCTGATACAGATACCAATGTTTGAAACAACAATTTGGCAGATGGCTGATTTCCATGTTTTTTTTTCACCATGACTTTTTTGTAATTTTTTTGTGTGTCTCTTTTTCAAATGAGCCATGTGAGGGGATGCATTTTAACAGTTGTTAGTTGTCCCTCCTCTTGAAATGTGACAGGAACAAGTCGTACAAACTACATGTCACTGATCTTTCCCAGAGAGGATGCAAGGCTCCCACACTGACGTCATTTTCTTTCATGTTTACCTAAAGCAACTGCTGCTGCAAGGTTAGACTGTATTTTTCTGCAGTTTTTGGAAACGTTCTCTCTCTTAAACTCTATCTAAATAGACTGTATGTCATTCAAATACTTTGACGGGAAACTGCTTTTCTGAGGAACTTTGTGCATTTCGTCTGGTCAGATCAGTGCCTTCCTGTGCACAACAGATAGCACAGTTCATGTCAGCACAATCGCTCATTAGGGAAAGAACTGAATCTGTCCGTCAAGCACCTGTGTTTAGGGGGGGAAAGCGTCCAGACAGATGTTTCCTGGGACTCTGCAGGATGATTGATGCCCTTATTGTACAGCTGTTTAACATGCCAGACACCCAAGGGGTTTCCTGTTCTTCATCCCCCTTTTTTTTTTTTTTTCAAGCAAAAGAAGACGGTGGATTGGCAGCTTTCCAGAATCGAGTCTATCAGCAGACATGTATCACATATCAGTGAAATTACCTTCCTCTGCAGCCCACTGGAACATGTAGAGGACATGAGCAGCTGCTGCCAGATCCCCCCGTACACCACCTGACGGGTGTGATGCTATCGACTTGGCAGAATTAGGCCGCCTCACCGAGCAATAATTACAACAAGAGATCTTAATCTCAAACGAGAGAACGAAAGGGTCGGGAAAAAATGGAGCAAAAAATCTCTCGCATGAAAATCTTCCCGTTCACCTAGTCTCTCTTTTGTATCACAGCCCCACCTCTACCCCTGTGAAGATCCAACCACCCTATTCGTCACCCCCATGAAGTCACCTTGACGCTGCCCTTCACGGCCCTCCATCACCGCATCGCATGTGTCAGGACACATCACACAGTCTGGTTTATAAAACCAAGACGAGGTGTTTGAGAAAACAGCTTCCTTACCATGTGCCTAAAAAAATACAGGACTAGTATTATATGAGGTAGCTCATATAAATCGTATTTTTGTCTGCTCAAATCCACACAGGATGAAAATTAAGCCACTTAAGGAAGAGGATAATAATAAAAACCAGACGTGATCAGGCCCAACAAAGTTAAATCAAGCTTAAATTATATCAGTTGATTGGCTTTGAATGTCTATAAACAGCTTAATCATGGTACAACAGAAGTTTGGACTCTTCATTTTCTTAATTCCACACATATGGAGTTCTGAGTCTTGTATATGATATCACTGATAAACAGTTTAAAACGAATATGTGTTGGAAAAAATATCCCTGTGTGTTACCAGAGAAGGTAGAGGACAACCACACTGTGAACCAAACTGGGATTTATTTTCTATCTTAAACACAAAACTAAAGAGAGGAGGGCACTCTGGGACTCTCTCTTTGAAAGTCTTTGACCGAGTCTGCTCTAACAAACGCTGCTGAATTGCATTGTTTTAGCAAAAGAAAATCGAGGCTCCGCTCATGCCTACACAATGCGGAAGCAGACAAACACTCCTCTCGCTCAATCCGAGCTGCATCCTTCTCACTTTTCCGTCTTCTCTCTCCCGTTCTCGGCCTCTCCGCGGACGCCGCTCTGCCACTTTGGATCTGTCACGGGCAATAAGGATGAAAAATTGGCCCGCTCTTTGGGTCTCCAGTCTGTGCGCCAGTTTCAGCCTCCACCTTCACATGCCCGGAGGAGAAAAGAGCTCCGCACTCGCAAAACAAAATGGGATTTAACAAGGCCGGAATCAGTCACAATGCCTCGGTAAATAGCTGCTGAACCCTGCTTGAACCAGCGGCGGCGGTTTGAATACAGACTTTAACGTGGAAGTTGGGAGTGAGAGGATGCAGTTTGACGGTGCAGGGCGGATTTTAAAGGTTGGAATTCATGACAGAACACAAATAAGAAGAAATGGTTACATCAGAAAACATGCCAAAGTCAGCATGAATAAAATACTTGCTTCTTTCACAGCGGAGAATGGGAGCTCTCTGATCTCTTTTTTGTGTTCTTTACGTTCTGCAAGGTACATTGGGGGCGGCTGTGGCTCAGTTGGAAGGTCAGGGGTTCGATCCCCTGGAGCCACATGCCCGTTTGTTCATAGTCAAAACACTTAACCCCAAGATGCTCCTTCTGCTTCATCGACAGTGTGAATGTGTATGAATGGGGTTATTTCTGATGGTCACACAGCAGCGTCTCTGCCATTAGTGTGTGAATGGGTAGATGTGACCTTTGATGTAAAAGCACTTTGAGTGGTCAGAGGAGCTCTAGTCTATTTCCCACTGACATTTTTTGATCTTGATTATTGTTGCATGTTACGTGATTACAGTGTACGAGCGTATGCAAGAAAAAAAACATTTCTATATAAATGATTGCATTGACAGAAATAATTCTGCTTTGTGTATGTAATGTTGATGCACTTTGTTGGAGGGTGTAACAAACGGCAGTATTGAAATGATGCTGCTTCAGCCTGTTGTAGTTAAGAAAAAAAGGACTTCAGGTTTATCTGAGAGCCTGTAACATTATTCAAATAGTAGCCATGTGTAAATAATAATGAAGACTATTAAGGATACAAAACATAACTGAGAAGCATGTGGATGCATTGTGATTTGTTTGTTTGAAAATAATTCACAGTTAGAGTCATGGTTTAGTGAGGAGTAGAGCCGTGAGATCTGTGATCTGTAGCACCACTAGTTATTGGTGATGATGTGCACATTCGAGTGTTGCGAAATATTTCATTTAAAAACTCTTCACTGTCTCTTACTTTCTATTCAGTATTAGTTCCAACTACAAGCTGCAAATGTGACTTCAACAGATACACATTAATATTAGTTTTGGCACGAGTCGATACACAACAACAAAGCCCAAAGTCTTTCTCTGTACTTCATATTCAGCATGAGAAACTGTATGAATCAGAATCTGAAGGGACACATGATTCATCTTCTTCTGTTCTCCTGATAAGACTGCCGGCAACAATGACAGGTGATGTTGTCAGAAGTCAACTTGTTTATGCCACCCCCCTCTACAATGTAAAATCAATACAGCATGATTCAACACATGAGATTCTGCATAGCACGCCAGGGTTTTCATAATCTTCCATCCTTTCGCCGACCATCAGAAGAACGAATATGACATTACATCGTGATGCATCCGTTGTGCACCCAGCTAGATTTAAGGAGGTACGGCAGCTCGAAGCGTTCATGTTGAAGACCTCCCACAGGGGGCTAATACATTTTATGGTCCATTTACTTTACGACCTTTTGAATTCTTAATGAAATATAAAACATATATGACATAAAATCTTACACAGCAGGGCGATAACATGACAATGAAATAGCTTTAAGTGAACCTGAAATGATCTCCAGGGTGGAACTCGTGTGTTGAATGGAGAAATAAGATAAACATACACACAGCAATAAAAAAACAGAAGAACTAATTTATGGATTGAAGCACTTGCATGTGGAAAAATAAGAGCAACTGTAGGATCATGTCATAATAGATACTGCCCAAAAAACGTTTGGTTGCATGTAAAATAACCCAAAACACATGTGGAGTTTGTTTTTAAGTGCATTAAAGGAATCAGACTAACCTTTATCTCAACAAAGCCTGCTGTAGGGTCTCTTTAAATGCTTCCTCCACTCTCACAGGCAGCCACTGAGGATCTAGAGGAGATGAAAATAAAAAGGAAGACCATTAATTGTCTAATTTATGTTAGCTCTCAGAGTATTCTCGGGGTATCTCTGAGTTAATTCAAGGGGTTTCTGGCCCGAAAGATTCTGCTAAATGTAGCAAAAAATAGAGGAAAGTTTTAGAAAAAGAGCCCACTTAAGCAAACTAGTTAGGGCTGTCTTTCAAATGTACTTATTATTCATTTGAGGATATTAAAGAACAATTCTGTTGTAAAACTGTACAGGCGGACAAGACTGCAGGTACACACGACAAACACAACACACTGCTTCGCATTTAAGATCTCAGAGTAATCAGGAGAGTACACAATGGGCTCAAACTGCTGAATCCATTGTGTGAACTTTTGCCCCCGTTGATTGCACCATCAGCACAGTAATCTGTGTCAGTGGCTGGCTGGCAGATATCCATGATCAATGGACTGTTTTTACAGACAAATGGCCATATTCAGGGAACGACCAGTGGAGAGCAGCCATGTGGTGGAAAACCAGTTACAGAAAGCAGCTGGGGATCTCCTCCCAACAGATGCATGCCTGCTGTGGAGGTGTGAGGACTTTCCCAGTTCAGCCAAGGCGGGGAACGATGGGAGTCACGATGCTATCTGCACTCTCTACCAAACAGCAACCGCCGATGTTGAAAAAGGAATCCAATGCCGAAGTGCAGATACCTGAAATAAAGGCTGTTTTAGCAGCTTAAGCTAGTTGTGAAAAATACTCCAGTAGTACAGGATGCCATGAGACAACTACCCCTCTGCACTTTAGTTGTTTGTATGCAGTCTGACTACTCATGATTGCCATTTATTCTCCACCTCATACCGTGAAAAGTGTATTTACCTGCCAACTGATGCATAGATTAAAAGCCACTGTGTTTTCTCTGCGGGAAAATAAAGTATTCCCAGACAGCTCATTGAGCCACTTTTCAATGCACCTGGGAATTACATTTTATACACGGCAGCACTTCAAACAAAATGATAGCCAACTGCGGGTTCATTTCATTTTTAATCATTGGTGTTGTGTCCTTTTATTTAAGATCAAACCTTTTGTGCTTAATTGCTTTTTTTTGGGGGGGGGGGTGATATCAGGTGTCAGCCTTTCTTATTTTAAAATATAACATCATCTTTAAGTTGTATATTGGGTCCCTTTTGGGAACGACTGATTGCTGTAACACTTTCCAGCTGCTCTCGCATATCAAAATCACAAACAGGGAGCGCAGGCTGTGGTGACAGCGAGTCCCATTGCAACCTTGTGCACGAATCAATGACGCGTCATCATTTAGAATGCGCTGCTAAATATGCATGCATAACAAATAGCGTGATCGGAACACAATGAGCATGTCATCGTGATATTAGTCGCCAGCAAGTCAGCATTTGCCTTTGTGGCTTCAGCAGCCATCTGCACAAGTTCTTTTGTCAGGGCTTCATAGAACACAGTTCCTGTTTCCTGCTGCGTTCTCACATTTTCTTTTACAATCCTTCTGCTCATCAGTTTTTAACACTTTTTTCACAGGATAATGAGACTCATTATGGCAATCATTCCTCTAAATACCCCCCTTATTGGAATAATTTGTCCGAGTTGGATCACCATGGATCCAACTCCCCCCTGATCCACTCAGGTAGTTTCCATCATTTGTTGACTTTAAGCACAGATTATGCAAATAAAATCTTGGCTGAATTCATGCAACCGCATCCCATTCCCCTTCCCAAACCTAACCTTCTGATATTACCAGCAAAGATGACATTAATTTCTCCTGCAGCATCCCAGATATAGAAAATGCAACATGCAGAGCAATCTCCATGCTCAACAACCTGTGTCAAAGCTTATGTAATGACACGATGAGGGGGGGAAAGGACACAATCTTTAGATCTGAGTGTAGACTGAGAACCAGTCGAGGGTTGGGGGGGGGGGGGGGGGGGGATGCTCAACAGGAGAGATATTGCCACGGTAATCTACACTGAGAGAGCGAGCTGTAGAGCAGGTTGACCTTGAAGAGTGTAACCTGCCAATCAAAAGAGTGTTTTCTCCTCGCTGACAGGCAGCCAGGCAGAAAGCAGAGCCCCAGATATGTCAGCTTGGTGCAGATGTATAAATGATGTGGGAGACACAAATATAATGTGTGTACCACTTTTCACACTTTCCTTTAGAACACTAGAATGTGCTTCGTATAATATGGATTTCCCTTACACTACACTCACACAGAGAGATTAGCTTTAAGGCCAGCTTTCTGTTTTTTTACCTCGGACCCAAAGCTACAGGGAATAGCATAGTTGCCACAGAGTTGTAAGTATCCTGTCTGTGAGGGAGAAAAGCTGGTAAACAGTATTTTGGCTTCTGAGAGCCTTTTAAAACATTCATCTGTTAATCAAACTGGACACCCTGGATCATGCTTCATGTCCACCAACGCAGCCAGCATGGCCAGAAGCAGTGGAAACTTACTTGAAAGGCTGGGTTATTTAAAGATAGCGGGCTACACACGGCTACAACTATATAAAAAGAATAAAAGATCAGGAACCTTCATTAAAAGTTAGGATGCATTTTTACTTCCACACTTTGAATACTTTACTTTTCAGGAAAGGTTTTGTTTACGAAAATCTGTTTCCTTCTACCAAAGACACCTTATTAAAACGTACTGCTTTAAATTGTTCAGTATTTCTGCTGTTTAGAGAGCAGAGGATGCATTTCTTAACAGCACTCTTTGGTGTACGGTGACTTTTCCTCGTGGAGCAACACATCTCACATGTCGGTTAAACGTGCTTCCATCATACCAGGTTAGGCCGTCTGGGTAATACATGATTGATCTAAATAGAACTGCATTACCCATGGGGCATCTGTTTTCAATGATCCGTTCCCCTTTTTCTTGCCTGCATCCATTATCTCCATTTGTGGCTGGCAAGCGCCGACTTCTGATGTTGAAAAATGACGCCAATTCAGAACAGTCCACAGCCTGTCCATTTGAGGCTCGCTCCAAAAAAGCTCCAGAAGTTCCAAAACTGCCTCAGTGCGTCCTGAAGAAGTGGCGTACTGACGGCAGAGTAAAGCGCTCAAAATGTTCCGTTGTCATTGGTTTTTAGACTATTTTTCTTTCAAGTTTTATGTGATAAACCAGCATCTTTAATGTCAGGGTGCCTGTACGTGAGTGAAAAAGAACAGTACTGCTGGATCCTTTGTGCGTTTACATGCCGTCCACATGTCTCCTACCAGAAAATGAATGCCTGTCATGTGCTTAGCTACTGTTTCCCCAGCTTGTCTCACAACAACCATGCTCTAAATCTACATGAGACAGACCTCTATGTGCAAAGGTCTCCACCAGGCAACCATCTGCTCTGGGCAAAACATCTCTACTACCGTAAATGCTGCAAGCTTCTTCCTTTCATTTCCAAAAGGGCAAATACACAAAGGTGTATGTCCTTTGCATTCAAGCAAGCTGACTGGATTCAGCATGAATATAATGTCATGACATCTTAGACCCAGCATGCTGCTGTTTCACTTCTACTTATTTCCTCAGATTTTCCACCTGTCTTTTTGCCATTTGCAGTCTTTCACCCTTTTCTGTCACCCAGACGCCTTTTTTTTATGTTGTCCATGATAAGGTTTTATTCGACTGCACGCCATTTGCCCACAATACCGAGCGACAGTGAACTAGAAATGTAACACGGTGCAGAGATTGACACCTGACAGTGGAATGAATACCAAAGAAAATATGAGAACTCCCAGAAAAAGCTGTAACTCAAGACTTAGACTTGTGTTTAATCATTTTTTACAGCTCTATTTTTTGCAAAAAATACATGTTCTTCATTCCCATCATGTGACATTATGACACCCCTGTCTTCCATCACAACACCCCGCACGCTGTTCTTCACACCAAAGAGCCTGAATCGAGGCTTGGGTGGAGAAACGCAGTACCTTGGTAAAATGCAGACTCTGCAGCTGCTGGTGTATAAACACGACAGGTTATTCTGCTGTGACTCAAACTCAATCCTCTCCTTGTTCTTTTAATGGCTTCTCAATGGGAGAGTAATTATAAACCACAAAGATCATTTTGAATGGTAAACTCCACTCATGTGGAGGCAGTCATTTTATAGAAGAACATACGCGGGTTAGTTGTGCTACAAAGAGGTAAGCTGTTGGAAAAACAGCGGTCAAAAAGACTGACTGACATTTCATTTGTATTGTTTCTTTTTTTGTTTTCGCAGCGTCATGTCACCTCCGATTGTTGTGGGAATGCAGCCTTACGGATCACGTTTCATCTCCAAGTGACGTCAAACAGATTTGTGATACACCCCAGCTTCTTTAAGAGACATGAAACTAGTGTTCACAATATCTCCAGCACGGGTCTTTATCCCTGTGGCACCGAGCTGTCCTGTACAGACACTGCCCTCTGAGCAAACAAGATTACATTGATGAACAGAGGCGGGCTTGTTTACTCCCTGTGTCAAGGTACTTTGGGGGTGACTCACTGTCAGCGAGGAGGAGAAACTTTGGAGACGGCAAGCTGCTTTCTGGTAATTCAAGGAATTAAAAGAAAAACTCTGATGAAAAGTTTACTTTCTCTGGTCACTTGAGGACAATGGCCAGAATGAAGTTCTTCAAAATTGTGCCATGTATCTTCATTATGTTCTCTACAGTTCTGTCCCGAAATGACCTGCCTCAGTGGGCTAAAGGTGAGTGGAAAAAGATGGATTTTTTTTGCATTCCATATCTTTCCCGCCAACGCCATCACAACACATTGCATTGTTAATATACGTTGTTTTCAGCCATGTATTAACACAAATCTGAAACATCTAAATCACACTAAAAAGGATTTGGCTTAACATTGAATACTCATAATAGTATAAAGGATGCAATACCTTATGATATGATGCAATGCTTTGTGATGCGTTGCGATGTGATGTGATTCCAAGCGATATAACGGAGGACCACAGCCTCGCGCATGGGACGCGTGGAACAACCACCACACTCCTGGCGCCCCAGAAGATTGGGAG